TCTATTGACCTGTTGCAACGTCTTAGGCCAGTCTCTGCCTCTGCAAAAGGCAGCGGTGGTCCCTGCCTGTTAGGAAGATGGCTCACGTAGTTCTCTGTTTACCTAGGAGTCCCTATGTCCCTTACTGCTTTTCTATTTAAGCACTTTATTCACTTTATTCCATCATGACACCTACAAGGTAGCCACGCGTTACGCAGGAGAACTGTGGCAGGGGACGGAGGTGGTAACTCGCCAAAAGACACAAAGGAAATTGGTGGCTCCACAAAAGCAAGCTGAGCCTAAGGCTTAGGTCCAAATCTGATGCTCTCGCTACCTTGCCATTTGCCGCAGAGCCAGCCTTTTGCCCTTTCCATTTGGGAGAGGGAGGGATCCAAAGATACTATTGCTGTTATCACCTTAGTTAATTTGTGAGGCAGGAGCAGAGCAATGCTTATCCCAAGAAATGTATTGCCAAAAGAATTTAACAACTGTACAAATCGCTGCCCTTTGATGCTGCATGAAAGAAAAGATCCATGTATCATAAGCAAGAACGACTCGCACTCCCCCTCACTTTTACTCCCCCACTGATATATTAAATCTACAAAAATTCAGAGGGCAGCAGTGCAACCATTAATGTTGAAATTGCCAGGCTGGTGCCTAATGTAAATGAAACTACATTGATTTAGTGTTACCCAACGCGCCTCTCCTGCTTGTTCATCTTCTGCAGGCTGATCAAAATCCTTCCTTCCAGGTAGCTGCGGCCTCATGCCCTATAGAAGTGCAGAAAATAATGTCATCACCAGCCTTAATGATGAAGGTAGTTACAGGACAAAAGCCCCTGCAGCAAGTTGGGTATTGGGTCATTGTTCCTGCTAATGTCATGGTGCCATTTCTCACTATTTTTAGAATTGTTCCCTTTGTACAGCAAATTTCTCAGGTAGTTGCTTAACTATATAGAAGATCTTGCCTTCACTGGACCTCGTAGCAAGAAGCCGTCTTCCTCTGACTTCTGGAAATCAGACAAACCCCTAAAAGCTGAAGAGATTGATAAAAACTTGGTACACGGCTGCCTGCAAACCTCAATCTGAACCTTCAGAAAATGAGGATCTTGCCTCAGTCTGCTGCTGACCCTTAGTGCAGTGACAGACCGAGCACAAAGACCTTGCAGAAAATTTTGCAGGCGTCTAAATTATCCGCTTGCAGTTTCAGAAGTAACCCCGGGATTCAGTAAATCAGCATGGACTTAATTCCGAAATTATTTATATGTTTTTGGAACTCTTAGCACAGATCCAAACTTCTCCACCTTTTGAGGGAAGAGATGGAGCAATGGATTAGGAACTTTTGAGCCTAAAAATCCTCCAATCTATATATCCAAGCCCTTTTATTGTCATCTGCTCTGTATATTATGGTTGTCTCCAACACCTTAGCATGAACCGAAGCTCTTTGGCTTTGGTTGCCTTGTAAGCACAGAAGATGCAACCTGTAAATTCTGAGTTTTCTGCCTAAATAAGCAAGACAGATAAAGAACAGTTATTATTCCCATGTTATTGTCAGGGAAGTAAGACACAGGAAGATTAAATGACCAGCCCAAGGGCACAGAAGGGGTCTCTAGCAAAGGTGAGGTCTCAGCCTAGATATCTTAAGTCTCTGCCCAGTACTTTAGCCATCCATTCACTGGCTTTTTAAGTACCCTGTCATTACTTCTGTGAAGAAAATTATGCAACTCCTTCAGCAGCCAGTACTGTGTAATTCAGCTTGTCTGAAAGGGAATATGAAATGGCAGTTTCACAAAAAATTAACCCTCCTGCCACACAATCTGGCAGCCCTGTCAAAACGTCTCATTTTTTATCTTCTCTTCCTCTGGTGGGTATTTAATTTCCCTCTATATTCTCAGAATACCGGCTGGGGCTTTATCTGCATTACCCTACAAAACCTTCGCAGGAGTCTCCAGGGCCTTGTGGAGGACGTGTTCTGTAGATGAGGGACGCGATAGTTTTGAGCCCTTCATTTCTACCGCAGGTGTTCAGATCCACCCTGCGTTACTCGTCGCTGTCACTGGCACAGGCAGGTTTTCTGGCAGCTCCTCTGACAAGCAGCAGGAGCTCCGGCTCTGCAGGAGGACACGGGACGCACGCCTGCGTACGGTCGCCCGTCCCAGCACTGCAGTGCTCAGCCCCACTTGCAGATGGGGTGTAACGCGGCGGCGGATCTTTTATTCCTGATTGCCGTGTCAATGGAGGCAGGAGCTGATGCCAGTCTGGTTCAGGAGAGTCTCCACCTTTGGGTGATGTCTCCACCACCCTGGTGCCCTGGTTTGGGACACTCTTTTGGTGGTGAGCTCCATAAGAGAAACCAAGGGACACAGGAGAACCAAGGTGACAAAGGAATCTGATCAGGACAAACCGGGCTGCCTCTGATTTCCGCCCCTCGCAGTCAGAATCCTGCCCCAGCCCCTTCAGGCTGATGCAGCTACAGCCCATCTGCTCCAGGCGAGCAGCGTGGCCGCCCCCGCGTTCATCTGTCTTTGCCTTCCCAGACCAAATAATCCATTTACAGCAGGGTCGGGGGCGAGCTATTGAGGCTCGAGTACGTTTCGTATTCACGGCTCTACAGGGAGAGGCTGTTGTGACACTGCTCCTTGTGCTCTTTATTCTCTTTCTCATTACTAAGCAATTTCTTTATTCATGGAAAAAGCATTTCCATCAGCTGCACTTCTAGCCGGTGATGCTTCTGACAGCCCACCCAAGAACCGGGGGCAGGCTCTCATGTAAATTTGGGACCTAAAAAGCCTACCTGGTGTTCCGGTGAATTCCATATGCATTCTACAGAGGGGAAATTAATGGGAAGCTTTAGTTAATAGATACTTCAGATAAAAGTGCGAGTGCATCTGATCACCATAGCAACATGAGCGAGCCAGCAGGGAGAGGAAATGTCACCGTGTCTGTGCCTTGACCTGCAGCATAAACAGCCTAAGTGCTGTGGATTTCACACATGGATGTTCACAAGTGGGGACAGAGACGCGTCCGGGCACACGGCCCCGTGTGCCCACAGCCTGCTCACGCATTCAGCCGTTAGGTATTTACACACCATGAGCGCCCACAGCCACGCACACGAAGGCTGACACGTTAATATTAAAAGCACCACGTGCCCAAACTCATTGGTGACAGCCATTTACTTACAAGAACACAATTTTTAGCTTGTGACCATGGGGGCACATCCGCACATCTGTGTGCAGAGGGGACATGGGAATACTCCCACCTCACAAATATTCCAGCGCACACGCAGCTGCTCCTCCCATCCCGGCGTGCTGGAAACCACACTCGCACAGTATGGATACACTGGAGATGCTCGAGACATCTTTGCTCCTTTTCAAGCGGGAAGCCGCTACGTCCCCGAGCACATTGCACACGTAGGTGACGCGCTCGCGTGCAGAGTCAGACCTCGTGTGGGAATTCTGCCACGGATGCTTTGGCTCTGGCTCTCAGGAGCGCTGAGCACCTGCTACTCCCGGTGACTTTAACAGCTGCTGAAGTGAAAATTAGGCCCACGCTGTCTGTTATGCAAAAGCAGTTTCTTAGCAACAAAAATGATATTCTGTGTGAAGGCAACACGCATTAGCAGGATAATCCTAGGTAATTCCAGACAGGACCTGAATGGGTGGATGGATGGACTGAATAATAATAATGACAGACAGAATAATAATAATGGAAATACTGAAGCTAATCTTATTTCCCTGGAAAGGAGAAGAAACAGCTATAAATAAAATACAACAGGAGAAACCCTGTGCCAGTTCCTCATATAAAGATTAGAGCCACTTAAATTCAACTTATGCCCTAAAAATAGGTTGTGGTAACTAAAGCTTCGCTCATCTAAGCTAGGCTATTTATTGCCTTGAATATTTTTCCCTCGCTCCAGCCATGTATTTTCATTCGGGAATGGAGAAAGCTGTACATCTTGTCCTATGGCAGGGATCAAAGGGAATAAATCTCTGTTTGCTGTTATGGATGAGGCTTGGCTACCTCCAATCTTGTCCTAGGCAGAAAAGCTGTGCTTTAAAAGACTCTACCAAACCCAAATGTTTCGCTGCCATTAAAACCACGTCAGACTGATGCTGTACGAGCACGCTGTGCACTACTGGATTTTGAAGTACAATCGCTTCGAGGCATTTAACATCAATAAAACCTCCCATGAAGTTTACACAGGCTCTGAGGTTACAGAAAAGCTTGTACAGCCCAGGCTCCCTTTCCCGCCCCTGGGCCCCATCTCACATCTGGCTCCGCTCCCTCCTGCCCCGGGCCCGAGTCCCCTGGGGCCCGCGCCGCCGGCCCCGAGA